TAAATTTTCACTAGATGGTGCCTGGGTTATGCTGGATAAAGTCTGTAGGCCCTATTCTAAAGGTTCTGTGGGCTGAGCCTGTCATTTTTAAGATCTCCTCTGCAAAATAGGGACAATCATACATGGGTGGTTGGAGTAGGCAGTTTGATTGGCTTTGGCACCCACCTGGAGGGCTGGGGGAAGACACTTTGCCTGTGCTGGGTGAGCCATGGAGGGGTGATCGTGGGGTCCACATCTGGCCCCACCCTTCCTCTCAGGTGCTCCTCCCAGGCTCTGCTTCCTGGTTGCTGTGGACTGAACACCTTCACTCACCACCCCCTTCCCGGGATGTTCCTGCCTTGGATTCAGCAGATCATGGACTGGTTCACCCAGAATCATGAGCTACATTGAACCTCTTCTCCTTCAAGCTGTCAGTGTTGGGTATTGGGTACCCATAACAGAAAATCTGTCATGTCCAGGTCTCTACCTTACAGTGCAGCTGTGAAAGCAAATGAATCCTTTCATGTCAACTTGGATCACTGCCTGGCTCTCAGTCATGTGCCACATAGACATTATTACTATTATTGCTATGAGAGATTGATCATCCCTAGTCCACAAATGTAGAACCTGATACATTAAAATCTGAATTTTTGTTGAACAAATTTCAGATTTTAGAGCATTTCAAATTTTGCATTTTTGGATGAGGGATACTAAACCTGTAACATCTACAGAAGTATTTCAAAATACAAAAACTCCCAAATCTGAAACACACTTGGTTCCAAGCATTTCAGATTAGGAATTTCCTACTTGTATGATCAACTGATTATAATTAGTTGTTTTGAATTATCGTCTATTAGTTTTCTCAAACCTGAGAGGCATAAAAATCAACTAGTGGATTTACAAATGCATATGCTGTGCTTTACTGCCCAGAGATTCTGATTTAATAAGGCTGTACCTAGCCAGAGACCTGCATTCTTGTATTTCTCAAAAGGCTCACTGACAGATATTCTGTAAACCAGCGGTGGTCTCGTTCACATTCCAATTCTCCAAGGAAAAGGAACTTGTCTCACAGGCAGGGATTAAGATGAGCTTATTTACACAGAGAAAGATAACTCTGGAGGTCATTTACTGACATACAGAGAGTGCTCTGGGGACTCTCCCGTTTCCGGACCTCGTCTTTGTCAGGAGCGACCCTGCCCCCCTGGAGTTGGCTCACAAGGGTGAGGAAACAGCTGCCATCCCTTCAGGCTGCCCTGGGTAAGCTCCAGCATGCTGCTCCAGCAGGCCTGGCTGGCTCTATGGTTCTACCGCCTGACCTCCATGCAGGGGGAGCTTGGCCACAGCAACCCTCCCCTCACCCATCCACCGGGCACCAAGGCAGTGTGTGGGCCAACTCAGGACTGCTCCAGGGGTTACCAAAGATGTGGCCTGGTCTCCTCCGTGCCTCTAGAGGTGAAGTCAAAGGAAATGACAGCTTGTTCCTCAGGAAAACATAGATGTACATCCCTGGCAAGCCCAAGAGGATGCCATGCCTGGGCAAGAGCCTGAGAGTCCTTACACCACACTTACAAGTCAGAGAACCAGCCTGAACTCGTCAGCCTGTGCATCTGACCTCTGAAGCTACTCCCCAGTATGTTTGAAATTTAAAGTGCAAGCTTCCAAAACTGAAATGGAAAAGGCTATTTTGCTCCTGACTAGCATTCTGTCCTGGATTTCCAGTTGTGCTTATGCTAATTACTCATTTAAATGTAATCAATACTTGAATGTCCTGTGTTCTGACAAAGCCTAGATCTATCTATTAATAAACACACTGCTTAGTTAAGATAGTTATTCTGATGCAGAGAGCTATGCCCCTACTTTCGCTAAAGAAGACTGTTTTACACAGAAAATTAGTTTTTGCCTCTATCATATAATAAAGGGGAGTTTACATTTCCCAAAATATGCTTTCCTTCCTCTCCCAAAGCATGAGGTGAAAGGTGGCTGGAGCCCCTCATTCTAGCTCTCACCCCTGTGTTACACAGGGAAAACCCAGGATAGAATTCCAGCTTTTTCTTACACAGCAGTCCCTGGGGCTTCCCCATCCCCTAGGGGAATATACACTTGTCACATGACCAGCTCCTAGGAGAACTATAAAACCAGGCCCAGGCTGACTTAGAGAACGTCATAGAGTATTGCAGGGGCCCAGGAACTCTTAGCTGAGCTGGGGCAGTGGGCTAAGGCTGGACATCCCCTCAGAGTCTCTGAAGGGCATGGCACTTCCAGAAGACTGGAATGAGGCCTTGGAAAGCACAGGGCGAAGCTAGGAGGCTACATGGCCCTGGTCACGGTAGTGCTGTATGTATAAGGTCTATATGATACCTGTGTGTATGCTCAGAGGTAAAGAACAAGGTCTGGATGTTCGATCCACGCTTCAGCAACCCTGTGCTATCACTGTTACAGGTTTTAAGAACCTAGAAGGCAAGAGCCAGGGAGCTGTTCTCCTCGTGCGACACCCACTTTGTTTATTTAGGCAGGGGTTCCTCTGGATGTGGCAGTGCAAATATGATGTGTTCAACTGCCTGGTGAAATCCTCACATGGGATCAAAGGCGTGTTTATTTCAAGCCATTGTTCAAGCTGGTTGTCTGATGCTACTAAAGAATGCACATGTTAAATGTCACCCCAACAAAGAAGATGGAAGACATGAAGTTCCCAAATCTCTCTCTCATTTTGGGCTTCTTCTCTGTGAGTGCTCACTCAGCTCCAGCTAGGTTATACCACACACCCCCAAGCTGGGCACACACGCCTCCTGCTTAGGAAGCCTTTCTGGGCTGGACCAGGTGCCCCTTGAAGAGGCTCCACCCCTCCGCTCCTGTCACCTGCTGCTGTCACCACCTGCCCAGGATCACCAGGCTCTCCTCTGAGATGCCCTGCATTCTAGCTCTGTAGCTTACCAACCACTCATGTCCCTCCTTACCCTGAGATCTGGCACAGGGCAGATTCTCACTGACCACTTTTCTGTTCATCAGCAGCAAGGAGAATAATTCTTCACTATTCTCTTTAAAATAATTAAAATAATTCATCACTACTAGGGGCTTTGAGCATTATTGGATTCAAGTAAAATATTACTGTAATGCCTAAAAGAGAAAATGGCCTGAAAATAACTCAAGCACCTGAGCTTGTAGCACTGAAGAAATGGAAGCCCCAGAGACACATAAAGATGCCCCATGGATTTACTCTGAAATATTTAAATATCATTCATTGTAAAGTCAGCCATAGGCAACCTTCCCTAAAAAAGGAGCATTTGTTTAAAAGATAGTAGTCATGCTTTTCTAGAAAAAACATGTATGCACAAGTGTGTTGTCACTTCATCTCTGGATTTCAAAATCTTACTCTCCTTGAAACTGGATGGAGGATGTGAGCAAAGCCTAGGGAAACAGTTCACACTTGCTGAAGTACGGACTGCTCTACCCACTGTAAACAGTGTCAACTCCATGCAGCAGATGGGGTGCTTCAGGAAAATGCAATGTGACAGAGGAGCAATTGCCTTTGACATGAAATGATGTACAGTGTTATTTCACCAGCAACAAGCCAGGCATACTGGTGGAAATGCTAAACATTGGGTAATAATACCCAAGTATAAACAGTAAAAAGCACTGAATACTTTCAGAAGTCTGAAAATTTTGTATCCATCAGAGATATCTGTAAGTGATGGGTGGTTAAGAACATGCTTGTGAAAGGGGGGAGGGAATCTTGTTTCTGTCATTCGTCTTCCATTCTAGGCCTATCTCAGCTTCTAACCTGTTCCCCATCCAGGAGGCTGCGGGTGGACTCAGCTCCATTCCAGGTATACCTGTGTTCGACTCAGAAGCCAGCTTTCTTCGAGCAGTCTTCCCTCTGGCATTCTTGGTTCATTTCTGTGGCTGCCAAAGGCCGAAGGTCTTCCTGACAACCTTTTTGGCCTGGACCAAGGAATCTGGGAGCTGGTGATACACAGCATGGGAGCGGTGGGCCCCTCCTTAAGGCAGCCACTCTTCCACAGAAGCCAACTGTGGGAATTAAGGGGATATCTGAAGGTTCTCACAGTAAGAACTAAAAGTCAACTATCTGGGAAACTTCATATTTCTTCGCAGTTAAAAGACACTCTCTGTTCCTTAAGTGTGACACACTCACTTTTGATTTTCTACTCCAAGCAAATCTGGCTGGTGCACTGCCCCCTGGCAGGCTTTTCTACCTCACCCATCTCCCTGACAAGTCCAGCTCCCTGATCACACATGAAATCTTTGCTCCCACCCTGCCAGCAATCTCATCTTTCTCTAAATTTAACGCCAGCTTCAATCACTTCCCTATATTAATGGCTTACCTGGGCAATGAAACACTATTAAAAACTATTGGGTTCTTTGCAGCTTTCCCATGCCCTTGTATTTTTAATTGAGTATTCACCCTCTCCACTAAGTAGATGTCAGCCTTGGGGTGAGGATGTCTCCTTATTTTCCCTGCTGTTGTTCACAGTAGATTATAAAACAATTAACATTTTCTGAACACCATGGGATTGAGAATGACCTGTTGTTTTTGACAAGATAGCCTGCATACACAGTTTTGTTTTGTTGAGACAGGGTCTTACCAAGTTGTTTAGTTAGTAAACTAAACAGGCTGGGCTGGAGAAGGCTATCCTCCTGCCTCAGCCTCCTAGAGTACTAGGATTACAGCATTAAGAGCTATCTCTTGCCTATCCTCATTCTCAGTAGGGTCTGCCATCAATAGTCACTGATAAAGTGTGCCATTCCCAATTAATAAATTGTATCTCCTCCAACTAAGCCAGGCCTGAGCACTCCAGGCCCAAAGACTTTGAAGAGCACGGCAAACCTAAGCATGAAGCAGTGAGTTGAGGCTACAGACTCATGTAGTTTTGGTTTGTTGGGTTTTTGTTGTTGGTCTGGAAATTGAACTCATGACCTTGCGCCTGCCTGGCAGGCGCTGAGCCTCTGAACTACACATCCCCAGCTCAAATAGTTTTATAGGGCTGTGCAGGTTCCTGTCCACAGCCTTCCCCAAGGGCTCTGAGGCTAAAGAATTCATGGAGCCAGCGGAACCACCGAAATCTGACGCGACACTTGCATTGTGGCGGAACCTGTTCTGAGCTTTCTTCCTCCTCTTGACCACCTCATGATCCAGCAAATGCTCAGGTCAAACTCCAGAAAGGGTGGCGCCTGACCTCGGTACGAGTTCGCAGATGTCAAAGACCACAACACACCACAAGACTCAAGTAGGTTCCTCAGGGCCCGCGACAGGACAGTCTTCTGCGGCCAAGCTAGCGTTTCCTGCAAACTCCAGGAGAATGCTGGCGAACTCAGCGCTGCCCGAATTTGTCTCAGGCCCTCACCTCGGTCAGCCAGGGTGTTAGAATGGTAAAAGGGGAAGCGCGCTCCCACAGCGCCAAAGCGGCTGGGGTACTCGCCGAAAATAAAAAGGTCTCTGTCTGCAAATCCCGTTTGCTCGCCCGGTAATCCACTCCCCGCCCCCAGCCCTGCGTGTGCGCCCCGTACAGCTGTTTTTAATCCCTACTTTTCTCACTTGGCGTCCCGGGCTCGGGCAGACTAGACGCGGAGCCAGTTAGTGTTTCCTCCTCCCCCTGCCGGGGTCTGTCCTCCCTCCGCCGTCTCCTTTTTCTCCGCCCGCGTCCCCGGGGGCAGCGTGTGGGAAGAACGAATTTCCGCCTGGTTTGCTCGCGCTCGCCGAGTTGGGTCCCTTCCGGACGCAGCCTGTTCTTTCGGGCGGTTCCACCCGCGCTGCGCTCCGAGTCCCCACCAAGACCCAGGAGGAGCCGGCTGCGGGGGCCGAGCCCCTGAGGCTACACAGCCAAGCCGCGCCCCCGAGGAGCTCTTGGAAGGGCTCCCTCCTGCAGTTGGGGAATCCGCTGGGCAAGGAGAATCCGCGCCAGGGAATCCAGCTTTCCGGGCTCCGCTGCAAACAAAAAGCACCAAGGCTTGCTCCCACCCCCGTCCCTGACGCACACCCGGAGAAACACTTTTCTGCAGAAATGCAACAAGTAGCACCCGGAGCTAGCGGAGAGCTCTGCGCCGCCTAACTTGGCCCCGGCGTAGCCCGCCTGCAGAAACAGAGGCCAGCCACCGGACAAAGAGCGGAGGAGGGGCTGGACTGCGCAGTGAAGTCCGAAAGAGGCCATTCAGCGACTCTGGCCAGGCCAAGGGGAATGCGGAGGAGACACGGAGCCGGCGGGCAGAGAGGACAATCCGGCCGCAGCACGAAGGGCGGGCGGCAATGGAAGCTGCCCACGCCGTGCGCTTCTTGCTCGTGGTGTGCGGCTGCCTCGCGCTCCCTCCGCGGGCGGAGCCGGTGTGCCCAGAGCGCTGCGACTGCCAGCACCCCCAGCACCTCCTGTGCACCAACAGGGGGCTCCGTGCTGTGCCCAAAACCAGCTCGCTGCCTAGCCCCCAGGACGTGCTCACCTACAGCCTCGGAGGCAACTTCATAACTAACATCACCGCCTTCGACTTCCACCGCCTAGGGCAGCTCAGAAGGCTGGACTTGCAGTACAACCAGATCCGCTCTCTGCACCCTAAGACCTTCGAGAAGCTCTCCCGGCTGGAGGAGCTCTACCTGGGAAACAACCTCTTGCAGGCACTGGCGCCTGGCACGCTGGCCCCGCTGCGCAAGCTGCGCATCCTCTATGCCAACGGCAACGAGATAAACCGCCTAAACCGCGGCTCCTTCGAGGGCTTGGAGAGCCTGGTCAAGCTGCGGCTGGATGGGAACGCCCTGGAGGCGCTGCCAGACGCAGTCTTCGCCCCGCTGGGCAACCTGCTGTATCTACATCTGGAGTCTAACCGGATCCGCTTCCTGGGCAAGAATGCCTTTGCCCAGCTGGGCAAACTGCGCTTCCTCAACCTGTCGGCCAACGAGCTGCAGCCTTCCCTGCGCCACGCGGCCACCTTTGCACCGCTACGTTCCCTCTCTACTCTCATCCTCTCGGCAAACAGCCTGCAGCACCTTGGCCCGCGTGTCTTCCAGCACCTGCCGCGCCTTGGCCTGCTGTCGCTCAGGGGCAACCAGCTCACCCACCTCGCGACGGAGGCCTTTTGGGGGTTGGAGGCCTTGCGCGAACTACGCCTCGAGGGCAATCGCCTGAGCCAACTCCCCTTGGCGCTGCTGGAACCTCTGCACAGTCTAGAGGCGCTGGACCTAAGTGACAATGAGCTGTCTGCCCTGCACCCCTCCATCTTCGGCCACCTGAGCCGACTGCGTGAACTCAACCTGCGCGACAACGCGCTCAGTGCCCTCTCAGGGGACATCTTCGCTGCCAGCCCGGCCCTCTACCGGCTGGATCTAGACGGCAACGGCTGGACCTGCGACTGCCGGCTGCGAGGCCTGAAGCGCTGGATGGGCGACTGGCACTCACAGGGCCGGCTCCTCACCGTCTTCGTACAGTGTCGCCATCCCCCGGCCCTGCGGGGCAAGTACTTGGATTACCTGGATGACCATCAGCTACAGAATGGGTCCTGCGCGGATCCCCGGCCCTCCGCAGCACCGACTGCGGAGCTAGGGCAGCGGCTCCTCCCCTCAGGCGCGGGGGAGGAGGAGACGACGCCCTCTGCAGGGGCTTTTGCTGAAGCGTTACCACCGCAGCCGCTGCCCCAACAGCGGGAGCGGTTGCTAGCTGGGATTGTCTGGGACACAGCCGCCAGGGAGCTCGTGAGCAATCGCAGTGTTCTGAGGCTGAGCCGGCTGGGTCCTGGTCTCCTGCAGCATGTGGGCCCCTCTGCAGCTCCTGGCGTGGTCCCAGCTCCACAGACCCTGGACCTGCAGGAGAAGGCCGAGGCGGGACATCCGACCCTCGCCGCTCCTGCCCACGCGGAGCCCACCCCGACGGCCGAGTCAGCCCTCGTGTCACCACTGGCCCGCGACCCCCGGCAGCGCGCAGCAAGGCAGCGTCTGGCCGCCGCCGAGCAGCAAGAGCGTGGTGCCCAGTCGGACGGCGGGGTTGGCCTGCCGCCGCTGGTGTCTGATCCGTGTGACTTCAATAAGTTCATTCTGTGCAACCTGACCGTGGAGGCGGTGGGCGCCAACAGCGCCTCGGTGCGCTGGGAGGTTCGTGCGCACCGCAGCCCCCGACCCCTGGGCGGCGCGCGCTTCCGCTTGCTCTTTGACCGCTTTGGCCAGCAGCCCAAGTTCCACCGCTTCGTCTACCTGCCTGAGCGCAGCAACTCGGCCACGCTGCGCGAGCTGCGCGGAGACACCCCCTACCTAGTGTGCGTAGAAGGCGTGCTCGGGGGCCGAGTCTGTCCGGTGGCCCCCAGAGACCACTGTGCAGGGCTGGTCACCCTGCCAGAGCCCAGCAGCCAAGGCGGCATCGACTACCAGCTGCTGACCTTGGCCCTGCTGGCCGTCAACGCACTGCTGGTGCTCCTAGCTTTGCTAGCCTGGGGGTCACGCTGGCTGCGGAGGAAGCTGCGGGCCAGGCGTAAGGGAGGGGCCCCCGTCCACGTTAGGCACATGTACTCCACCCGACGGCCGCTGCGCTCCATGGGCACTGGCGTCTCTGCCGACTTCTCCGGCTTTCAGTCGCACCGGCCACGCACTACCGTGTGCGCACTCAGCGAGGCTGACCTCATCGAGTTCCCCTGCGACCGCTTCATGGACAGCGCTGGTGGGGGCGCTGGTGGCAGCTTGAGGCGGGAGGACCACCTCCTTCAACGATTTGCAGACTAGATGGAGGACTTCCAGGAGACCATCTTGGCTTAAGAAGTTTCTCTGTGGCCCCGGCACCCACCTCAGGGGAGAGCCTTATTTTATCAAATCTGTTCCCCTCTTGTGCATTTGCCAGATAGGCCAAGGGGACAGAGGACCAACTCACCAGTCAGTGCGTGTGAAGTAAATGGATAGTATGTGGGGCTTAAGGCCAGTGGTAGGCGAGTGGTGTATGTGGGGCAGAGGTGGGAGACCTTGGCAGCTCGGGGATGGCTTCTGTATTGGATGCAGCACAGTAATCTGGCCTCCTCTGGGGTGGATGGGAGCGCCCATAACCCCAGTGCGTCTGGAAGGATTCTGGTGCATGCTCTATGTTTGCCCAGTGTCAAAACAGGAGTTTTGTTTCTATTTAAGAAAAAGGAACTTAGCACCATTACAAAGGACACTTGGCAACTGATCCCACTGGTTTGGTGGTCTCTGCCAAGGAAGTTGTTGTGAGCAGGTGGGAATATTCTCATCTAGCAACTCGTTTATGCTGACTGGTAGAGCATTCAGGAAACCGGAAGGTAAAATAATAACAATGTTTTTTTCTTCAACAATGTGAAGATCTCTGACATTTAACACACTGACCAGTAAACTCAATGACTGTTTTAGTTGGACTGGGTCATTCAACTATTTGCCTTTTAACATGAGCAAGATAAGCACATTGGGTTTCTTTGACAGTAACAAAAACTTGTATACTTTCTCAGGAGAAGGCTGCATGCAAGACCTCTCTGTCAGGGTTGTTCCTGTGGTTTTAATTTTATTTTTTAAACTTATATGTATGGAAAAGGAAATTTCAATGTCAGATTCCATAAAAGAAAGTACTATGTATGCAACTGATGACCTCCTAGGGAACCCTGGCGTCCAAGTTCACTTAACCACATTTCTGACCATGTGTCCAGATGGGAATAAACATGATGCTCTTGTTGCATTTTTATCAGTGCCACTCAGTTCTGTGCCTACTTCTCCTGAGTTACAGTTAAGTAATAAAGGTGATTTCCTAATGGGGAAGCAAAAGGAATTGTCCAGGCTAGGGGTAGTTCAGTGGTAGAGCACTTGCTTAGCTTGTGTATGAGGTCCAGGATTTGATGCCCAGAAAAGTAAGAACAAAATAAAAGGTGATTGTGAGTTGATAGTATAGTCTTTGACCACATTAATCCATTTCTTTAGACAATATAGAAGACAAGAAAAAATTATGGAAAAGAAATGTGAAAAGAAATACATCAGTGGGTATCTGCTTATACTAAAACCAGAACGCTTAAACCTCACTGTGAAGTAATTATATATTTTTCAAATTAATCTTTCCACTACCAAGTGTTTCACTGTGTTATTAAATCTTTTAGTAAACACTTGCCATATTTTCTTTTCAGTGCTTTAATTTTAAACTTAGGGTTAGGCTTTTTTTATTGTTCAGTGTTTTCAGCTATCTAGGATAGTTTTATTCCCTGATATTTATGAAGTACTTGTTTATCACTAAATGTAGTGGTTGGCTTTACATTACTAATTGTGTGTGGTCTAAAAATGCAGTTACTAAGAGGGTATGCGCTGTGGTTATATTTACTGTAGCTGTGGATTTATTGTCAGTAGAATACTGTGGGGGCCACTACAATGGTGCTAAGACTTTACAGTCAATCTTCTGTTTAGGGCCACCAACCCTGAGGGTCCTGGTGTCTCAGGGAATCCATCACAGTGGGGGGGTGTCCTTCAACCCAATTCACTCCATCTACATTTGGCCTACATTGAGCCAGGCCCCCTTTTATCCCAACCAGTGAGCAGGTATCTAGGGATCTAAATTAGCTGGTCTTTGTTTACGTGGAGATGAGTAAATGTTCAGTTCACTTAAACTACAGCTGCTTTTCTAGCAGGCTTGTCTGGGGCCCAAACTTAATAAACCACAGGAAATAGACTGTCATTCTTTGTTTGCTGCCAGAGCTTGTTTTAGATTCGGAGCATATGGGTACACGGGAGAGGTAGAGCTGATCTCTTATTTTCTACCCGTAGGCTATCTGGCTCCTTTTATATTTCTGACTTTTTTTCATGCATAGTGAAATTCCCTTTCTTAGCCATTTCTTTTGCACAGCAGTGGAATATTGAATCCCACTGAAAATCTGGAAAAGCCCTCTAATTCTATCTACCACTCATCCTTTCATCTGCAGAACATCACTGAAAATGCCAAATCCCTGGATCTGTGTTCTTTTTAAAATAGCATCACTGGAAAGTCAGTGAGAAATGGTTAAATGTCATACATTGTTATGTTCACTTATGTCAATAAACCCATTTACTAATATAAAGTTGTTTTATTGTTGGAGTTTCCAAATGTTTTATTCTTTCTTAATGATATGATCTATGTCATTTCTCACATCAGTTTTCATCTGTGAAAATGAAATACAACACTGAAGGCTTTCTGTCCCTATTCAATGTGTTTTAAAAATTTCCATGTCCATAGTACAGCATGAACCTCAGCGTAAAGAGTGGGGTATGTGACTAAACTTAGAGAGACTATGAGAGGACTCTGAAGGCTGAGGGTCAGTGGCAGTGTGAAAATGCTGCTGAACATCAGTAACTGCCCTGTGACTAGGTCTCAGCAAGGCTTGCCTATCTGAATAAAAGTAAGTGAAAAGTCAAACCCTTTGACTCTCACAGTCAACAACACAAAGGAATTATCTTGGGTTAGAAGTCATTTGTTTGCCCTTACGAACATTATGAAGAGAGCAAATTCCTGAAAAAGACTGTACTTTTGTATGAGTTAGGAGTAGCCAAAGAGCCAGCAGGCAATCTGGAAGATGGTGTGACCCTCAGCTTCAACAGTGGGATTTCTGCTTCCACCAGGGAGAGAATTTTCAAAGTTGGTAGGTAATAACACATGACCAGAAGGGCTTCTTTACTTTGCCATACCCCTGATTTTCACCAAAGGACAGCAACATGGGTACTTACTGTATACTAAGAAAGTTTTAAAATAGATCTGGCATTGGTAGTTAATCACTTTTTCTTTTCTAAGACTTTGAGACAAAGGACAATGAAGCACTTCCAGTGCCCAAGATTCATTCAAAATTCCACTCAGGATCAGCACCTTCTCCATCCTAAGGCAATTAGCACTATGAGATTTAGAATAATAAACAGCATTCAACAGCACCATTGATTCTATGGCTGTTCAATAAATATTAAATGTAGCATCATTAGTAGTGCTGTCTTGAATACCGGCCAAGAGGCGGTGTGATCCTTTTGTGAAGTTTCAGGAGCAAGACATGTCTGCTTAAGTTCCAGCCAACCAAAAATTTCAGATCATGAGATTATACCAACCCCCTCCTTCCACCTTCTTCTAGTTGATCAAGATCCTTCTAAAATTCAGGGTGGAATGATCACTCTTGAAATACTTCTCCAGGATTTGAAGGAAAGTGAATAGAATAATAGTTGACAAACATTGTTGTGTTTATTGGATTCTTGCCATCAGTTAATACCTCCTTTAGATTGGAACTAAGGATGCATGAAATCTTGGGTCTGCAATGCCTCTCCTTTCCTAAACTTATTCACAGTGTCCTCAGGTGTCCTTTTACTGGGATGAATATTTTGCATGCAAAGATATTCTTGTCCTAGAAATCTGAGGTCCCTTTTTCTTTCTCATTCGTGTGGCAAATAGTATTCTTTTCATTTTGCCTAGAGAAGCTGACATATTTGGATACTACACTTAGCTCTATTAATTATTGAATAATCACAAAAGAGAGGGAAGACAATCTTCTTGTTGCTTTATCTTGAGTCAAAACACCTAACTATCCTATCCCATCTGTTTGGGAGTATTTAAAGTACAGGTGCTGTGATTTCTAAATGACGTGGAGTCGTGGCTTATACTTGGGTTGTGAAATTATTTCAACTGCTAGACAGAAAAAAATTGTTGCTCACCAACACTTGAAACTAAAATATCTCCTGACTATCTAGATCTAGGACATTTCTTTCCAACTGATGAAAGCTTATAATGCTAGTACTATGCCACAGTTGTTGCAGAGATAGGGCAAGACTGTTGTGTGTCAAGGTCTGCTGTCACTGTGTCACAGTTACTATCTTTTCCAAATCAGTTTTTTTGATGAAGTAATGCTTAGCCTGAAGCCCACTTCCCACATAGGTCTTGTGACATGTGTGCGGAACTGTGTGGAAGCATAGTTCAGTAGTAGTTCCACTCTTCTAGTCTTTTCTCTCCCAACATGGTATCCTTCGAAGGGTTTTTACTTCTGGAAATTAAAATAACTACCAATAATAACAAACAATGATGGCTAACATTTTGTGATGCTTGCTTTCAGCCTTCAGTGCTTCCATTGACAAAGCCCTTGTTTCCCATCCTCACACGATATCTTCACACCCATCTTGAATTGGGTACCTTTCTTCCTATCCCAGGGCAGATCCCACTTGTTGTTTGAGGTTAGTCCCCATGAACACACTCATGTCGGCAATAGGAAAACAATACTCCCAGGAGATAGGGTTAGGTTCCTGCCAGCCTCTGGTCACTTTCAATGCATCACCTATTCCTGCTGAAACACATTTAACACACGTGACCAGTTTATCAACACCTTACTCATGTTGAAGGGCATGTAAGTCACGTGGTCACAAAGCACATGCAGACACATCCTGAAACACTTTGCACTCTTCCTGTGCTTAGGGACACCAGCCAGCACTTTGACACTGTACCTTGAAACCCCTTTCACACTCCAAAATTGCCAAGCATAATGCACAAAAATGTCCCGTTGCATCACTAAGCAGACTGCATAGAGGACATTAAATAGCACAGTAGCTGAAACAGGGAGGCAGAATGTTATTTAACCTCAGGTCAGAGCATGCCCCAGCAACTCAAAATTTTCACTTCCCAGAGCAGTCAGCAGAGGACAGGAAAGTGCTACAGCGTGCTGATCCTGAAGTGACACATTTTGGTGAGAAGGTGTGTTCACCCATATGGAACCCAAGAATAACAGAGTTCAAGTCTCCTCATCTTCAGCTTTACCTCCTGTGTCCCCTACTGCTACACCAGATGCCATAAATTGGCATTTTCCCCCGTGAGTAATCTTCCGTCTTTTACATTGGTAGCTATACCTATTGTTTCACAAACTGCTGGCATGTGTGTTGCATGTGCTGTGAGGACTGTTAGACTATGCACTGTTGTATGCAAATGTAGGTGCTGTTCCTGTGAACTGTAGATGTGTTTGTATTGAGGGTGGATGGGGAGAGGGGCATAAGGAATAAAACTTCTGTCCATTTGATATTTTCTGTTCATTCTGCTGGGAGTGTTTGCTGACTCCGTGCATAGACAGTTTTTACTGTTTGTTTGGGGCCTGACAGATATCACAAATATACTCAGATGTCCTCAAACCCTTGCACACTTCCTCCTCCTCGTCTCTGAGGGCGTCCGGGGAGCTCTGTGCTCCTCTGCAGAAGCAGCGGCTGCAGCTTCCATTGTATTTTCAGAGGCTCCTCAGTGAGCTTTTCCTCTATCCGTGGCGCTCTCTTATTTACCAGCGCCAGTGGCTGGCCTTGAGAAGCACTCGTCTGCTTGTTCAAGGATTTCATCATATGCTCAAGTTACATCTCATTTCTTGCTTGGTTTTGTGCCTTTTTCTATTTCTGCTTTGACTCCTGGACACACACACACACACACACACACACACACACACACACACTGCATCTTGTTTGCGCCTAGGGCTTAATTCTACTTAGGCTGTTGCCCTATAGCTGGTTGGTTTCATTAGTTGACCTCTTTCTTGATTGTTCAGAACAGTAAAAAACCCATGTTTTCAAAGTTACCCCAGAGATCGCAAGATTATATTTTATATTTTACAATGTTCCTTTCACAAAATTCCTGTATACCCTTTACCCATCTTTAATTAACCAAGTGTTAATGTTTTTTCTGTTGGCTTTATGATTTTCTGTCTCTGTCTCTCTGTCTCTGTCTCTCTCTGTCTCTGTCTCTATCTCACTCTCTGTCTCTCTGTCTCTATCTCTCTGTCTCTCTGTCTCTGTCTCTGTCTCTGTCTCTGTCTCTCTCTCTCTCTCTCTCTCTCTCTCTCTCTCTCTGTCTGTCTCTCTCTGTCTCTGTCTCTCTCGCTTTCACTCTGGCTCTCGCTCTCTCACTCTCGCTCTAGCTCTCACTCTCTATCAGAGAAAAAAGTTCAGACATAATGTTCCCATATCCCTCAATATTTCCCTTAGGACTGGAAAAACAGCTGTGTGACTCTTCTTTCAGGCCACATTGTGAGAAGTTGAATCAATTAAGCCCCCGATTACTTTTAGTTTAGGTTTTCCTGTTGCTGTCAGTGCACTACAAACTTTAAATTTCTATACTCCTGTGTGGATTGATTTGTTAAACGGCATGTCTATAACTTTACTTTTCACTGGTGCATATTTGAAGTGTGTCACGTTTACATTCCTTGTGGAGGATTGGCTGGTGCACATGCCGCATCTTCCTTTCTTTTCATCTTCTTTCCCTCCCCCTTTTGTCCCCTCCCCCCATCTCTTGGTCTCCTTCCCATTTCAGAAAGCTCTATCTCTCTACTTCCTATTGTCAATCTTTTATTTTGCTCTACACTTACACTTTGGATTTCTCATATAGTAGAAACCTCATGATACTTAAGCTTGTATGTTTGGCTTATTTCACTCAACATTACAGTCTCAGGATGCATCCATTTTCCTACAATAACTCCAGTTTATCCTTCTTATGGAATAGTACTTTATTGTGTGTAAACCACATTTTCTCCATCCATTCATCCGTTGATGGGTGTATAGGCTGCTTCCAACATGTAGCTCTCATAAATTGTGCTGCTGTACACCTGGGTTTGCAGGTGTCACTGTGATATGACTTTAACTCTTTCAGAAGACATCTACCTACAAGGGCACTAGCTGGATCAAATGGAAGTTCTAGTTTTAGTTTTTTGAGGCTTCTACATATGGATTTTCAAAGTGATTGTGATAATTTTCATTCCCACCAACAATATAGAAGGATTTCTTTTCCTTGTAGCCCCACCAGAATTTGTTATTATTTGATTTCTTGATAATGGCTATTTTTCTACAGTAAGACAGTCTCACTGTTGTATTAATTTGCATTGATCTAATGGCCAGACACATTGAACATTTCTTCCTGTATTTATTGGCAATTTTTACTTCTTCTGAGAAGAATCCATTCTATTCTCTTTTTTATTTGTTTTTTTTTTTGTTTTGTTTTGTTTTGTTCTTAGCAGATCCAATTTTTTGAGTTGTTTACATGTTCCTGGTACTAGTCCTCTGTCTGGGCAGTACTGCCAAATTTTTTCCAATTCCATTATTTGCCTCTTTCCCCTGGTGGTTGATTCTTTTGCTGTGCAACAGCTTTTTTAATTTGGCATTATCCCATTTGCTGATTTTTGATACTAATTCCTGTGTAATCAGGATTATGCTTAGAGAAGCATTGCTTACCTCTATGACTTCAAGAGTTTTACTTAGTTTATCTTCCAGGAGATCAAGTGTTCCTTTTTTTTTTTCCTCCGAATGCCTTTAGGGCAGGTTTGGCTGGCTGGAGTTGTGGGGCTCGAACCACAGCAACCTGAGCCTGACTGCTTTGCTGAAGCAGCCACTTAAAGAACTGAGCTACGGGGCAGGCCCCCAAGTGTTCCTATTTTAACATGTAGCTTTTTGACCCATTTTGATCTTAGTTTAGTACATGGTGAGAGAAATAGGCCACAGTTCAGTCTTCTGTGTGTGGAAAGCCAGTTTTCCCAGAATATTTTTTAAGCCTCCAGAGTATGTTTTTGGCCCTTTTGTCAGAGGTCACATAGTTCACTGTGCTTAGGGCTGTCCTGTGTCTTCTGTTCGGTTCCACTGATCCAGAGGTAAGAAATCACAAACTGTTTTTGTACCAGTACCATGCTGTGTGCTTTTGGGTTATTTAACACTCTAGGTTCGTAATATAACTTGCCATCCAGGATTATTTTTGCTATTCGGGGTCTCTTCTAGTACCATATGAATTCTAGGATTGCTTTCTCCAGTTCTGTGAAGAATGATGTTGATGTTTTGATTGCAATTACATCGAATTTGTGCATAGGTTTGGAAATATGGCCAAAACTAATATTAGTTTTGCCTACTGAGGAACAGGGTATATTTTTCCATTTTCCGATGTATTATAGTTTCATTTGAGACTATTATAGTTTTTACTGTCGAGGTCTTCCACTTCTTTACTTATGTTAATTTTTAAGTATTTTTTTTTTCTTGGTGTTATTTTGAATGATATTTTTTCCTAATTTATTTCTCAATGAGTTTGTTACTGATATAAAAATGCTACTGATTTTCTTCTCTTCTTTTTAT